TGTGTGTGTGTGTGTGTGTGTGTGTGTGTGTGTGTGTGTGTGTGTGTGTGTGTGTGTGTGTGTGGCAGGGGGTTAGAGGATTATGACCCCCACAATAATTTGATCCAGTCAATATAACCCACCTCCCCCCAAATAAAATAACACAATTATCTCTAACACAATAGAAATGAACTGTGTAAGTACAGCTGCAGCTCTCTTGTTGACTTTATAACTTTGACCTGATATTAAAATTGATGATGTCATACATGTGCATTTAAACACAACTGATGAAAAGAACATGCAGGGTTTTAGTCTATTGTCACATTTTAACTGAATTTGTTGAATCATGTTGGAATTTGTTCCCAGATAAATTGTTGCGCACCGGGTAAATACATCTTAAACATGTCAAATATTTGTTACTGTTGGACAAAATGTGGGGGAAATTACGCCTCGTTTTGATTGTTGAACAGATGTGGAACAGACAAGATGCAGAGTAAATACACAGAAAACGTTCAAGTTAATTGTATTTAAAGCGTTACAAAGTATTTTAACCCTGAAATATCCTGAATCTTTTTACAAAAGTAAATGTTTCAGTAAATAGGCAGAGAGACCCCCCCCCCCCCATGGTGGAGCTGAAGTTACACCCTTCAGCTGCTGACGTCTCCATTGAATCTGTAACAACTGGTGCAAAACAACAAGAAAATCCAATTCTAGTTACTTTAAATTTGTGTTTAAAATGTGAATCAGGAGAAGTTCAGAACTGAACTCTTCAGTTCGACGTTTTTTTTTGCCTTTTTTCATTTTTATATCAGATATGAATATAATTGTTTACTGTTATTTGATGTTTATTACAATGGGGGGGGGGGGGTACGGACAGAACTTATATCTTCTGCGTGTTTTTGGTTTTTCCCAATTCTAGTTGTGATTTCTGTCAAATCACTTCCCTGCAGCCCAAGATATTTGCACAGGTGCTTCTTAAAGTAGATGTGAGCGTTTCAAAGAGTTGTCTCCAGATGTTCTTCAGATTTCTGCAGATTTACAAACTGAGTTTAGTCATTAAAATTTCAGATCCTGGTTTTTATCCACACAAAAGGTTTTCATTGAGGGCGGCACGGTGGCTCAGTTGGTAGAGCTGATGCCTCTCATCAAGAAGGTCACTGGTTCAAATCCCGGCATGGGGACCTTTCTGGGTAGAGTTTGCATGTTCTCTCTGTGCATGCGTGGGTTCTCTCCGGGTACTCCGGCTTCCTCCCACACACCAAAAACATGACTGTTAGGTTAATTGATAACTCTAAATTGTCCCTAGTGTGTGAGTGAGTTGTTTGTCTCGTTTGTCTCTATGTGTGGCCCTGTGATGGACTTGCGACCTGTCCAGGGTGTACCCCGCCCCTCGCACTGTGACTGCTGGATATGGGCACCAGTGACCCACGCGACCCTGAAAAGGAAGAAGCGTGAACAGAAAATGGATGGATGGTTTTCATTGAAACTTTAAAAAGCACAAAAGTCCGACTTCTTTGTTGTTGTGATAAAATTAAACCATTTTGAAGCAGATTTAGACTTTTTCCTGCTTGTGAAAGTGTTTTTTCTATAAAGAATATGACCCTAATTTTCAAACCTCCGCCAAGACTAATTTCCCGCATCCTGTAAGAGTAAATGTGCAAAAGCAGAGATGGAAACACATTTACTGAATAAGTTCTGACGCAGTGAACATTTAATCAGGCAGTTTGATGGGATTTCTTCTCAGTGGAGTCCAATGTGGAAAAACAAAAGTCAGACTGGTCACCCGACATTATTGATGGTCAAACTGGTGTGGGATTAAGCTCCTACGTTTCCATCAGTCACATTTCACCATGTAAAACGTCTGTTTTATCTCCTTGTATGAGTTTGTAATGGTTTGACTCTCTTTATAAAGTGCTTCCTGGCTCCCCCCTTCCCCGTCATCTACAAGCCTAGTAGAGACAAACTGTTTTGATTGGTTGTTTCAGAAATGTGGTGTGTTTGAGGAAATGGGAAAAATAGTTTTCATGGTGCAGTCACGCACTTCCTGGTCACAAAACTTCCTCTAAATGTGCACCAAATGTGTAAAAATGCGCACATTATGGAAAAAATTATTCATCATTAAATGTGGTTTTTTACGTTACTTTTTTAAAGTTTGAAGTCCGTGCTGTCCAATCCAGTTCAAATGAACACTGAAAGCTCTCACTGCATTTTACAGAAGCCCTGTGAAAGCATCACAGCTTTGCCGATCTCAGAGGATTAAAAGAAAAAAAATTCCTGTATCTGAATCGTGATCCAGAACATCACCAAAATTTAAAGATGTGTTCCTTGGCCCAGTACACACGTCTTAAATATGTCATGACAATCAGTCCACAAGTTTTTGAGTAATGTTGTCCACAGACAGAACGACAGACCGATCGAAAACTTTACCTCCTTGGCGGAGGTAAAAAAAACACTAGTCAGAGTTGAAACCTTCAAATTAAAATGAGCTAAAACCAACATTTTTTTTTTTTGGTTTTAATTAGAATTTTAGTCACAAAGTTCATGTTTGTAAATGAGAAGTGGTTTTCCTGGATAAATAAAGGTTAAATAAATAAGAAAAATCAAATTCAGTCCAGTTTGCACACCTTTTTGTTGAATCAGATGTCTGTTTCCTCCAGTCCCGCTCTGAAACAGAAGCTGGTTGATGAAATGCTGGTTCTTCGCAGCCAAACGGGTCACATGTTTCTATCATTCCTTTTGACTGACAGACTAACAGCGGGGGGACGTGTTTGAATAAAACTGGGCTCAGACGAACCGAGACGTCTCACTCTGCAGCAGCGTGTCGACGAGAGAAGGCTGTTATTTAACGGTGGCTTTTTAAAACTTTGCTCGGGGGAAAAAAGCAGCAGAAACTGACCACCTGTGATTTAAAGAGAGCTGCTGTATTATTAAGCAACCCACCATCAGCTCCAGCATGGGAAACTAAATGTCACTCTCTGCACTGCCACGCTGTTCTCTCTTTGTTCCCGGACCCGGATCGGAGCAATTAGCACTTGTTAAGAAGGAGATACATTTGTGAAATGCTTTTTTCGGAGAAGCCAGTCAATTGACTGCCAATTTCCTTCACCTATACAGCACTCGCCTCCTTTTTCCTCCCTCCTGTCCCCTCTCCTCGCTACCTCGGAGGTACTTCCTCGCATGCCATTTTGCAGAGTTAAGGCTTGACATTTTCTCTCGGATGTGCAATCAATAGCCGAGCAGGCCTCTGTTTACCGAGCGGCTCTACGCGCCAGCAAACAACACTTTGCTGTATTGGCAGTGCGTGTGGGGAAATCCAGGCGATGTGTGCAACAAACAAGGAGCCATTAACTGTGGAACAGGGCCCGAAATTTATCAGAGTTATAAATTCAATTTTGTGAATTGCCAGTCAATGCCTCCACCCAGGAACAATAGATGATATACAACCCACTTGGCTCAATCCAATAAGTGAAGGCGATGGGCGATCCTGGGCCCACCTGGCCTGTAATCACATTACTGCTGCGTGCCTCAATCAAACAGCAACAGAAAGGTTTGTGAGCTGCTGCCGACACACATGCAGAGCTGAAACACTGCCACACGCTGAAAGTACTGCAGGCTCAACATTCAACTTATTTATTTGATTCAAATAAACTTTCTATGGCCTTTTTTCACACGGTTCACTAAGAGAAATCCAACCTGTCACTCATCCATAGCACCTTTCAAGCAGAGATACGTTTCAAAGGACTTTACGCAAGAAAAGCAGAACTTTAAAGGGACAAAAGCCAAGAAAAAAAATGACATCCGGAAAAAGAAAAATCAAAAGAACAATCCCAGCTGGAAAAGCAATTTACCAGAAGCAATAATACATGCATTAAAATAGGCAATAAAAAGGCACAATGATCAACTTTATACAGTTTTTAAAAGGCAGGCAGGAGCACAGGAAACTCTGTCGTCTGAAAAACTAACAAATATTTTCATTATAGTGCCAAAATAAGAAAAGAGACAGTTTTGGAATTACTGTAAATGAGGTGTTGTAAATGAACATAGAGGAAAATCTGCCCATATTTATGTAAATACATAAAAAAAGATCTGATTCTCAAAAAAATAACACTTTGCATTAATATTTGATCATTTTCCAAAGGCTTGTGGGATTTGCAGAAAGGAAACAGTGAAAGTGTATTAACCACAGAAAGAAGAGAGGAAAGTTTGAACTCTCATGATGAGAGTCAGATGATGCTGCAGCCACACCTACTTGTTAGAGCGTTATACTGGGCTTTTATTTTGAAAGGCTGTTTCTCTTGTTTTGTTTGATTTCTCCTCAGCTGTTGTCCATCGTCTCTTGCTGTTTAGAAATTTGGTTTCCTTCGACGTTTGCGGCTTCGTCATCCTTCTGCTTTGTGTTTTTGTTACTTGAGAAAAACCGTCATGGTTGTTGTGTGTACAGCTGATGTGTTTTGTGCACCTGGTTGTTGATGTCAAGTAGTGAAGTAAAAATACTTTGTTACCTTACTTAAGTAGAGTAAGTATTTATACTTTACTGGAGTAATTATTTTTAAGCCTACTTTTTACTTCTACTTCTTACATTTTTATGCAATTATTTGTACTTCTTACTTTTAAAAAATGCAAAAAGTATTTCATTTCTATTTCACTTTGGCTTGTTTTCATTCTACCTTGTCTTTGTATATGAGGTGGCTCAGTTGATAGTAGGGTTGTAAGAAAATATCGATACACTGAAATATCGCGATATTTCATTTCCCGATACCGTATCGATATTCTAAAGCCCTGTATCGATTTTTTATTAAGGTTTAAAATGTCAACTTTCCTGCCAGCCGTTCATTTTCATGTTGTAGTTCAGCCTCTGACCACTAGTTGGCAGCAGTGAGCCAGCCATTTGGCTCCTCTACCTCTTGAGGTAGAGGCCATTGTTTAAGTGTTGGGTGACCATATTGTAAATTAATATTAAAAACTAAAAGCTGCAAAAATGTATTTTCAAACTATTTATTGTCAAATTTAGTCTAATAATTGAAAACATGGATGAAATAAGAAATAAGTAACAAATAAAATAAAATACATACAAAGCAGAACACAGCTAAATGTATCAAAAGTATGTCTATGTAATATTAGAATTTTCTGAGACGATGAAATTTGGTTTTTCATTTTTTCCCTGTAAGAGGTTTTTATTTAATAGAATTTTTGGACAAAAAATCACAATATATCGCCTTGCTTACAGTATCGCAATATATCAGGATATATCGTATCGTGACCCCTCTGTCATGATATGTATCGTATCGCCAAATTCTTGCCAATACACAGCCATGGTTGATAGAGCTGTTGCCTCTCAGCAAGATCGCAACCCAAATTTCTCAACATTATATTTTAAATATAAGTCTTTATTTACAATGATAGCCTGGTCAATATGGTTTTGAGAACAACAGTTTTTGGGGAGGTGGTTGTGCTCTGTCCCAGTGGAGCAACATAAGCTTTTGTTCTTTTTGGGTTTTATTTTCCCCATTTCTTTTACTTTTATACTTTTAAGTAGTTTTACAACTAGTACTTTTATACTTTTACTTGAGTAAAAAAGCTTGAGTCAACACTTCAGCTTTAAAAAAATATTTTTAAACCTTATTATTTATACGTTGACACCTCTGGTCAGGAGGAATGGAGGCAGAAAAAAAAGTCAGTCTGAAACATGTTCTGCTTTACAAGCCACATCGCTCAAAACTTCTGCAGACGGTGACTAAAAACTACAAATTTACCTCAGTTTTTACATAAACGCCAACGTTCTGCATTAGATATCCTTACAGGAGTCTACACTTTCAATGCTTTCTCTGTGGAAAAACAAACAAAGCACCAGAAAATATCCCCACCATCATATTTCCTCTTCCATGCTCGATGAGGAAAACCACAGATTCAGTGTGTTTCTGTCTGACACTGACTGAAACTGAAAACCTCTAAAGTCAGTCTGTAGGTTTGTTGGAGTTTCTTTTCTTTCTTTTTTTAATAAAATCCTTCAGCTGCTGCTGATCAGATCTGCTGCCACTGAAATTCAGTGAAACCTGTTTTCAGACTGCTGTCGCTGTTTCTTCTTCTGTTCAATAAAACATATCAAAGATAAGTTTGACAGAAAAAAGTTTCAATGACTCCAAGAGAGCTGAAAGGATGAAGCATCTCCCTGGTTTGGGTTCTGGTTCTGGTTCTGGTCCATGTTGTTTCAGATGCTGTTTATCTGCTGAAGAATGTTTATGTCTTTGTTTGCCTTTTTTCTTATTTTTTAAAACACACTCTGAACAAAATGTTGCCAGACACAATGACCGAAAATGAGTCAAAATAAAAAAATAAAATAAAAACCTCCGGTAAGTCTGAAAAATATATATAAAAAAACTTTTTGAAGAATTATTAGAAAGTCTGACTTGGTAAAAACAAATAAACAAATAAAATTAGTTGTAAAAATCAAAAAATCATTTGAATTTAATTAAAAGTAATATTGTGACGTATTTGATATATTGTTGTTTTTGATATTTAGCTTTTTAACTTGAGGTGACTGTTTTGGTTGGCGTGCCTCCCTGCATGCAGGGGCGGAGCCAGATGTGTGGCATGCAGGGGCGGAGCCAGATGTGTGGCATGCAGGGGCGGAGCCAGAGGCGTGGTCATCTGATTGGCCACCTCAGGTGCCACCCCACTAATATCCACGTCCACTGGTCGGTTATTTGGGGGTGGCACCTGAGGTGCCACCCCCAAATAACCGACCAGTGGACGTGGATATTAGATTTTGTAGCTGCATTCAGCTTTAATCAAAGATTGTTCTCTGATATTATTGTACTGTGTGAACTTTCAGTTTAAAAAAGGCTGAATTATGGCCTATTGTAAAATTAGCATTAGCCGTTAGCTTAATTTAGGATTAGCATCAACGTCAATTTTTTAAATTAGAATTTAATGAAGATGATTTGTGGCAACTTCTGTGCAAATCTTTAGCTTTGCATGCCTAAAAATGGCTAAACATAAGTAGTGACTAGCATTTAGCCTGTTTCGAGGATAATTTTAGCTACTATTACACAAACTTTCAGTTCAATATATTTTAAAACAGCTGAATAAAAAAAAGCCATTTGGATTCAGCTGAATCCATCTTGAGATTTTAAATGAAGAGTACTTTCCTTTATTTGTTTGTGTCACTGTAAATAAACACCGTGGCCACATCGGTGTTAAATCTCGCAAAAAGTTTAGCTCCGCCCCCTGCCTACATGCCTACATTTTAAACAAAGTTAGGTGAGCTGAGAATGACTCTCAGCTGCTGTTTGGTTCAATTTCTGTGCAACTGAAAGATGTTTTTTCCACTAACTGAGAGTTTCATTAAGATCAGAAGTATTTTACTAACAAACAAACAGAAATGATTTTTCATTATTACCACCTGTCACGTGCAGCACCTATTTTACATTTTAAAGCATGCTGTATTGTTTTTAAAAGATACATCCATCTTTTTGATATTTTAATCCCTTACGTCTTTTATAAAACCCAATAAAGAGTCATGTTGAGCGAAATGTTGACAGTTTGTCCAGGAGGGAAATAAAAAGAGCCGTCTGTCCTTGCAGCAGCTCCTTGGTTTATCTTTAAAAGAGGAGTTTTGCCGAGGCGAGCTGAATCTGAAGTATTTTCCATTAAACTCGTCTGCCTGATGTTTCAGATCTGAATTTTCCCTGCATGTTCAGGTCGTTGTGTTCTGATTGTTGTCTGGAGTTTTTGCTTTTGTTGGTTTGTTTGGTGGATGTCACTGAGGTCAAATGATTTATCATCAACCTCTTTGCTTCTTCTATCTTCCAACTCTAATAGGTTTGAAACAATTAGTAGTTATAAGAACTTTAACTCAGCAAAACCTTTTTTTTCTTTTGTTTTCTCATAAAACTGAATTACAGGTTATTCATCTCAAAATAAATCTTTGTTCTGTTTTTCATTCACTGAACCAAACAGCAGCACAATAAGAGTTTAAGGTCACAAGTAAAATAAAAAGTATTAACTGTAATAGTTTTATTTCTCTGTTTTTCTTCTTTTCTTCAGCTACATTGAAAACCAGGCAGGACTGGAGAATCTAACAGAGACTGACCTTGTTTACTACAGAGAGCTGAAGAACCTGTAAGTACTCTTTCATTTACTCACAACTAACCCAACAAATTGTTTCTTCCTGGGGAGATTTCTACTTTCAGAAAACCACCAGAGAGTGGCTGAGTGGGCGTGGCCTGATCTGGCTCCACCTACCTTTCAGCCCAGTCAAAACCTACAGTACATTCCAACATCTTACTAAAATTAATGCTGGTCTTTATTTTTAATTTTTTTTGTTTATTTATTCATTTCTATCAAAAAACTACATAAATTGTATATTCAATAAAAATACAAATCATAAATGAAAGGTAGCAGAACAAGAAAAATTCTTACATCTGCCCCTTTTATCAAAAAATTAATTTAAACAAAAATAGTCTTCAAATTGCTACGGAGCCCACAAGGAAGCATGGGAGTTATTCTTTATTATTTTTTTTATTTTTTGCATTACCTTGCCTTTTGCGTTCCCTCACAAAAGTCGTTAAACACTGTTGTGCCTACTGGTGTTATGATTGTTGTTTGTGTTAATGTTTTATTTTAGTTTCTGTCTTGTCATTTGTTTTCTTCCTCCTGTTTGCCTTTGCTCCAGCCCCGCCCACTCTCACCTGCTCCTCATGTTTCTCTCCCAGGTGTTTCCTGTTTGTTCTCATTAGTCTCACCTTTATATTCTGAGTCTTGTCTTCACTTCCCTGTCTGATCATTGTGCTGTTCACAGCCTGTATGTTTGTTGCCTTGCCTCGTAAGTTTTTGAGCTGCCCTGTCAGCAATTTTTGTTTGATGAATCTTTATTTTTTTCCTTTTGAAAACTGCCTGCATCTTGGGTTCATTTTTGCCAATTCATAACAACCGGTTTATTAACAAACTCACATTTTTACCATTAGTGAGTTAAACCCCTGCTTTAATTCAGCTTCAGAATGAATATATCACACAGCTACGCATGGAAGTACGATATTTTAACACAGTGCCACGCAACATCAATGTCATGTTCAAGAACTTGTGGCGACACATCCTGTTTTGGTAACCGTCCATCCATCCATCCATCCATCCATCCATCCATCCATCCATCCATCCATCCATCCATCCATCCATTTTCTTCCACCTATCCGGGGTCGGGTCGCAGGCGGGGGCAGCAGCTTCAGAAGGGAGGCCCAGACCTCCCTCTCCCCAGCCACTTCTTCCAGCTCCTCTGGGGGAACTCCAAGGCGTTCCCATGCCAGCTGAGAGACATAGTCCCTCCAGCGTGTCCTGGGTCTTCCTCGGGGCCTCCTCCCGGTGGGACGTGCCCGGAACACCTCACCAGGGAGGCGTCCAGGAGGCATCCTTACCAGATGCCCGAGCCACCTCAACTGACTCCTCTCAATGTGGAGGAGCAGCGGCTCTACTCTGAGTCCCTCCCGGATGACCGAGCTTCTCACCCTATCTCTAAGGGAGAGCCCAGCCACCCTGCGGAGGAAACCCATTTCGCCCGCTTGTATCTGGGACCTCGTTTTTTCGGTCATGACCCAAAGCTCATGACCATAGATGAGGGTAGGAACGTAGATCCACCGGTAAAACGAGAGTTTTGCTTTCTGACTCAGCTCTCTCTTCACCACGACGGACCGGTACAGCGCCCGCTTTACAGCAGACGCTGCGCCAATCCGCCTGTCGATCTCCCGCTCCGTTCTTCCCCCATTCGTGAACAAGATCCCCCAGATACTTAAACTCCTCCACTTGAGACAGGGCGACCCCCTGACCCGAAGAAGGCACTCTACCCTTTTCCGGCTCAAGACCATGGCCTTGGATTTGGAGGCACTGAGCCTCATCCCGGCCGCTTCGCACTCGGCCGCGAACCGCTCCAGCGAGAGCTGCAGATCTCGTTCCGATGAAGCCAACAGGACCACATCATCCGCAAAAAGCAGAGATGCGATCCTAAGGCCACCAAAACGGATCCCCTCAACACCTCGGCTGCGCCTAGAAATTCTGTCCATGAAAGTAATGAACAGAATCGGTGACAAAGGGCAGCCTTGGCGGAGTCCAACTCTCACCGGAAACGAGCCCGACTTACTGCCGGCAATGCGAACCAGACTCTGACACCGGTCATACAAGGACCTGACAGCCCGTATCAGAGTGCCCGGTACCCCATACTCCCGGAGAACCCCCCACAAGGCCCCCCTTGGGACACGGTCGAACGCCTTCTCCAAGTCCACAAAACACATGTAGACCGGTTGGGCGAACTCCCATGAACCCTCCAGGACCCTGCTGAGGGTGTAGAGCTGGTCCAGTGTTCCACGACCAGGACGATTTTGGTAACCGGTTTGTAACAGTTTTGGTAACCGGATATTTCAAAATAAAAGTCTGATTTAATTCAGTTCATACAAATCAAACTTTTGCGTAAGAATGCAGAACAATATTGTGAGGACTTGCCACCATTTGTGAGGTAATGCAAAAGGTTTTACTTGGGAACGCAAAAGAAAAAAAATCCCCCCATGTCCCCTCGCGGGCTCTGTAAATAATAACAAATACAAAACGAAAAAGAAGAAAAAATTAAATAAAAGTTAAAATCCTAGAACAACTCATATAAATACACATTATACCTACATATTTTTATTTCTTTTTTATTTTATTTTAATTAATTAATTTTTTTTTTCAAATTTGTCAGAAAGCTCACGTGTGTTGCATATTTGGTCTGGTTTTTATTTATTTGTTTTTTTAATGTCCTGAATTTTATTTTTCTGATGACGTAGGTGTTTATTTTAGGAAGGTGTTGATTTTCTTATTTTTTCTTTGTTTGTTTTTGACACTTAAAATAATGTAATAAATAATAAACAGCCTTAGTAAATATTTAAAATCCTAATTTTGATTTTAAAATCCCGTATTGTCTGAACTGACTGTAACTGACAGATTTATTGGTTTGTCTAAAATGTTTCTTATGGCTGCTGTCTGAAGCTGCTTCATTTGGTTTGTTTGTTTGTTTGTTTGTTTGTTTGTTTGTTTGTTTGTTTGTTTGTTTGTAGTGGTATATCCGTATAAATCAGTGATTTATTGTGACAGTGGTGCAGTGGTAGGACTGTTATCTTCAGAACAGAGAGTCACAGGTTCAATTCCCTGCCTTGCCCACATGTTGTGGTGTCAGCTGATTTCCTGCTGTGTGTGATGACTTGAATCACGTTGTTGTGCGTGCATAAAACAACTTTCTGCTGTGGTTTTGTGGAGGCAGCTTGTTGTCGACATACAAAGAAACATGATTGCCCACCCAGTTTTAGTAAGTTTAAAACTCACGTGTCTGAGCTCCTCAGCATGTCTCATCCTTCCTCAGGTTTGCATTAAACCAGTAGAAACGATGAGTTTCATGAACCAAACTGCGTTTATATTAATGGTTCTCCTCCTCTTCAGCACCGTCACCTCCTGTAAGCTGAGGTTCATCTCTGCCAGCGCTTTCCAGAACAACCTGAAGCTGCAGTATGTGTAAGTGTTCCCGTCGATGAAACAGGGATTGTCTTCCCCACGTGTTGTTTCCAGCCTGTGTGGCTCAGCCTATTTGTTGCTGTCAGTCAGACCTCAGCTCGTTAATATTAAACGAAGTGACCGCAGCTTTTTCAAAAAGCAAACAACATCCGAAAACCTGAGAAAATCTGTCAGCTGTTCTAGGAAAGTGAAGGAGCGAGTAACTTTTACTAAAAGGGTTTTATTATACTTTGTGTCTGTGAAAGTCTTGAAACTTTTCTGTGAACAAAACGTTTTGAGATTCATGCTGGAAGATTGTCAGAAAAAATTGAAAAATCGTGATTTTTTTTTTTAAATCCAGCCTGTTTGCTGAAAATGAAACATTAGACTCAAAGCTGGTTCAGAGAGAAGAAATGATGTGATAAAAGCAGGAGTTTAGCAGCTGAAGAGGAAAACCTTCCTCTCAGATTATCACGTCAGAAACAGTTTCTATTGTAGCTTTAATGTTTTTAATGTTTGATTAGAGAAATATAAATGAAAAAATATTTTAATGACTTTTAATTTTGTAATGTTTGGAAACAAATAAGCTGCTGAAATAATGTTTGTATAATTGTCTGCAGTATTTTATGAATCTTCATGAGTCCTTAAAGACGTCTCAATGTTTTAAAGTTACATTAACAGAAAACTGATTGTAAAACCAACCAATAGATTTTCAGTGTTTGATTAAAATCTTAAATATAATTAATTTAGTAACAAAAAAAACAATCTCAGTGCTTGGATTATAAAATAAATAGTAAAATGATGAGAAATTACTGGTTAAATTATTATTATTTTCTGTCCTCGTGTGTGAACCACTTTATGCAAATAAAAACCAACCGTCTGACATGAAACCATCCGATCTGTCTGCTGAGTCTTATCGCCACCATCTTGTCCTCATGGTTCTACTGAGCGTGTGCGACATGTCAGTGTTTATCTGAAACACAAGCAGGTTTGGAGCAGAGATGATGGTCAGGACGGGGTGGGGGGCTGGGAAGATCAAGAAATTGGAGAAGACATCCAGCAGTCACCTTTTACCCGCTCACTTTGGCGGATTATTGACAACTGATGCATAATAAATACACTCCACTAAGGGTCCATTATCACTTAATCAATATTTCACTGTGGGTGGAGAGGGGGGCCGGCTGGGCCTGGTGGGGGGAGGGAGTGTTTTTTTTTATGTGACAGCTGTATGTTGGAGATAAAGACGAGACAAACTAAAACAAAACGAAGAGAAGCCCTCCTGCTCTGATCTCCACACAAACACAGCTTTAACAGCGTTTTATAGAAAAGTTGTCTGGAAACCAGTGAGCTGTTATTCCCGGCTCTGCTCTCCCCCTGTGGACTCCAGCAGGAATCGAGCCGGTAATGGATAAGCCCCAATGGCTAACCCATCTGACATGAACTTCTGGGAGCAAGGAAAACAAATAATTGAACCCCTGGCCCTGTCACAGTGATTATGTATTAGTTTCCATCCTCGCGCTCCCCAGCGAGGCTTTCTGTCATCGTCTGAGGGAGGTTTATTTACAGCCTCTGCAGGTCTGAGGAGCATTTGAGCTCCACTGTGATGATATTTAAGTGGCCTGAGAGGATTGACCAAAGAATATGTGGTGTAGGATTAATATGAGAGCCTGACATTCACAATAAGAAATATCAACATTCAGTTCTTTGGGACTAAAACCAAGGGTTGTCCATCAAAACTCACAAACTGGGTTTTAATCAGAGAGATAAGATGCTAAAGATCATACTGGTGGAGCTGGGCAGCTCCTCAGAGACGGGACGACATGTCCACAGGAACACTTTAACGTGATAAAAATATCAGAGTCTAATTGACTGCTTCAAATTAAGCTAAAAACACTGTTCCCACAGTAAAGCATGGTGGTGGCAGCATCATGCTATGTGGATGTTTTCCATCAGCAGCGACTGGGAAACTGGTCAGAGTTCAATAAAAGAGCAAAATGTATAAACTCTTAAAGGGATCCCTGATTAGTTGTAACATTAGACTTTATTTGATAAACATATATTTTAACTGTAAAATAAAGA